TGGCCGGTGTGTGAAATGACGAATTCACGCTCCCCTCTGCTGCCTGACCGTCATCCGCAAAAAGACCTGTTCGTGTGTGACATCGTGGATGCCGTCCCCAAGGGCGACATGGCCTCGATGGAACACCCGGTTTTCACCCTCTCGACAAAGCCGGACATGAAGCCCCGGCGGTATCAGAATGGCGAGAACTTCATTGAAGTGTCGCCGTCACGGTACGGGCTGGCCACGGTGCATGACCGCGATGTACTGATTTACTGCATCAGCCAGTGTATGGCCGCGCTCAATGAGGGGCGAACGGTTAGCCGGACGCTGCGGTTCAAGGCGCATGACCTACTCGTGGCAACGAACCGGCAGGCGTCTGGTCAAGGCTACAAGCTGCTCAAGGACGCGCTCCGGCGTCTGCAAGGCACGCAGATAGAGACGAACATCCGCCAGGGCGGCAAGGAGTATTTCAGAGTCTTCGGCCTCATCGAGTCTGCGGAAATCGTGCGTGAAACGCGCGACGGGCGGATGCAGGATGTAGAGATTACCCTGTCCGATTGGGTTTTCGACGCCATAGAAAACAACCATGTTCTGACGCTGAACAAGGAATATTTCTTCCTGCGTAAGCCTCTCGAACGGCGGCTCTACGAGCTGGCGCGAAAGCATTGCGGCTCACAGCCAAAATGGAAATGCGGCATCGAGCTCTTGCGCGACAAGTGTGGGTCGAGTTCGACCACGAAAGAATTCCGCCGCCTGCTCGGCAAGATTATCGAGGACGATGCGGCGCACGACCACATGCCCGATTACGTGATGGGCATCGAGGGGGACAATGTCGTCTTCCGTCCCAAGGCGGCTGAGGCGGTCGTCGCCCTGCCTTTCCAGGCATTGCGGTTCAAAAAGCTCGACACGCACGATGAGGCACGGCGTCTTGCGCCTGGCTGGGATGTCTATGTGCTCGAAAGCGAGTGGCGGTCGTGGGTCCACGACAAGGCCATCGACGTGAAGGACGCGGACAAGCATTTCTTGGCGTTCTGCAAAAAACGTGGCGCGTACAAACACTAAAAGCGCACAAATGTGGGTTTGTGCCTTTACGCATTCCCACGAATGTGGTGAGGTTGATTCATGATA